TTTTTTACCACTTGCCATTTACTCATTTAGAAAGTGTTAAAGATTTTAAAAGACAAATTGCTCAAAGAGACAAAGAATGAGTCAAAATCTGATTATAATAGCTTATGGAATAAACAAATCTCATCTAATCGACCTCAATGGAAATATATATTTTATGCTTGTCTTAGTTGTAAGAACAGTACAAAAAATAAATGAATTGTCCACAATATATTACCTCAATAGTGTTGAAATCTATAGCTTATGGGTCAAGTAAACAATATCTATTTTTATGCTTGCATTAGGTGGTCACATTTGTTATTTTCTTGCCCGAGGCCGGTAAAGTGTTCAATGAATCCTGAAGACTAGTTAAGATGCAAGCTAGTCAGGACACCCTAGTCACCAAAAAATAATCACTTAGCTTATGAATGGGTGGCAATACCATAGATTACCCAAAAGTCTTGTGTTTGAGTCCCACTAAATAACCACTTACCACATTTGTGAATATTACCTATTGGGTTTGTAAAATGTTTAATCGACTTTAAAAATTAGTTGAGGTACGCACAAACTAACTTGAATACCTCAGTCACCAACAAAGAATATTTGTTAGACTACTTGGCTTAATTTGACTCCTATAATAAGGAGAGTTACTATAATGTAATGCTAAAATTCATTGAATTTAAAATAATTATACAAAATGAATAATTTCATTTAATAATTTATTTTCCACAAGATTAATTACTTACAAGAAAAAAATATTTTTGGGATTTGGATTTATAATATTTTTCAGTTCAATTTTCTATAAGAGTAATACTATACTTATAAAGAAATCTGACAAAGATTTTTATACAAAGTGATGTGGTAAAAAATGAATAGAAGAATTAATATAATGAGTTTAACTTTTTGTTTCACTCTTCCATTCATTTTTTGTCATCTCACTTTGTATGAAAATTTTTGCAAGATTTCTTTGTAAGTATAATATTATTGTTCCTTAAAATATTCAAAAAATTTTTTTAACTATTATGTTAACTTTAGATGCAAAAAATCTACCGTCATGAAAATAAGGTCTGATCCCGTGAGGATGAGGCCACTGACAATCCGATAGACCTGCACACATGAAAGGGCAAGATGAAGCTTCCGAAAAACATCGGGGTGGTGTTTGTCGTAGGCACTCCAACGCTCAAGTCAGCAAGGCCGAAAGAGATTATTTGATAAGAATTAAGGAGATGAAGAATTATCAGGAGTCTTGTCGGAAGCTAGGACTACGGCAGAGGCGTCAGGTCCTTGGGAACAAGAACTTTAGGAGCAAATAGATGGTTTTGAGTAGTGTAGACTGACTATGGGAGATTGCCTCTTAATGAGAGGGCAAGCCTCTGTTTTATAGTGAACCCAAGGGGTTGGAATCCTAGTAGGACATTGAGTCCTCTTTTTTGGGAGATAATCCCTATCAAGAAAGAAATATGATTTCTTGACCTTATCAGATTAATTAGTTTAATAGTTTAAATAAGATTTGGAGTCATAGTAGGAAACTAAGTGCTATTTTGGGAGATAATCTCTATCATGAAAGAGATATGATTTCTTGACCTTATCAGATTAAGTTTAATAGTTTGAATAAGATTTGGAATCTTAGTAGGACACTAAGTCCGATTTTGGGAGATAATCCCTATCATAAAAGAGATATGATTTCTTAACCTTATCAGATCAAGTTTAATAGTTTGAGTAAGATTTGGAATCTTAGTAGAAGAGGAAATAGAATAGGATTCTGATTTCTTATTTATAGACTATTACAGGCTAATGGGCTAAAACCCAGTTTAGCTTAACTTATAGGATAGCCCAACTCATAGAGTGGGTAGTTCGTAAGGTGATTTTAAGCTTATGTCCAATCGAGATTGGGTTGAGGCCTTGGGCCATGACATGTTTATTTCATTATTAGGCCTCGTCAAGCCCAAGACGATTTTTTGCCCTAACAGTTAGCCCCCCACTCTCTAAGTTAAAGAGTATTTAGCTTAGAGAGTAGATTTAATCGAATGAGTGCAGACTGAGCGGATTAGTGATAGCAGCTCGTTAGGTTGGATGGATCATTGTGCGAATTGGGTCGATGACTTTTCGATTTGAGGTGCAAGTCCTTCAATCGGTCTGGGCCGATTGAATGTGTAAATCTATAAATCGATCTAGGCCGATCGAAGGTGTAAACTCATGAATCGGGTAGGGCCGATTGAAGGTGTAAACTTGTGAATCGGACAGGGCCGATCCGAAGGTATAAACTCATGAATCGGGCAGGGCTGATCCGAAGGTGTAAATCCGTGAATCGAGCAAGGCCGATTCAAAGGTGTAAACTCATGAATCGGGCAGGGCCGATTCGAAGGTGTAAACTCGTGGATCGGGTAGGGCCGATTCGAGGTGTAAATCCGTGGATCGGGTAGGGCCGATCCGAATGTGTAAATCTGTGGATCAAGCAGGGCCGATCCGAAGGTGTAAATCCGTGAATCGGGCAGGGTCGATCCGAAAGTGTAAATCCGTGAATCGAGCAGGGTCGATCCAAGGTGTAAATCAATGGATCAGGCAGGGCCGATCCGAAGGCGTTAATCCATGGATCAGGCAGGGCCGATCCGAAGTTGTAAATTCGTGGATCGGGCAGAGCCGATCTGAAGTTGTAAATCCATGGATCGAGTAGGGCCGATTCAAAGTTGTAAATCCGTGGATCGGGCAGGGCCGATCCGAAGGTGTAAATCCGTGGATCGGGCAGGGTCGATCCGAAGGTGTAAATCCATGGATCGGGTAGGGTCAATCCGATGATGTAAATCCGTGGATCGAGCAGGGCCGATTCAATGGTGTATGCTAAGTGGAGCTTGTATGGAGATTACAGTCAAGTCGGCATGATCGACTTGTAGTTGAAACCTTTGAGGGCTATGTGGCCCAGTCAACGTGACCGACTTTGTAGTTGAAAACATTTGATTAAAGCTGGAGCAGTGACATGCATGACATATATGTTTTAAGCAAATAGTCAAACAGAGAGTTGATATGCATGATGTGCATGTGTTATGGACTGAATAAAGAGTGAGCTAAATGGAAAAATGGGCTGCATTTATTTAAGTAATAGGCCGAATAGAGAAAGATTTAACCAAATAGAGTGGTAGTTAAAAGGAGACAATAACACATACCTTTCCCCTTTAAGTGTTGCCACCCATGCTTGCTGGACCGAGTGGAGATAGGGGTGTTACTTTCTATGTCGAAGCTGAGCCAGTTGAAGTTGAGTGGGCACGTGATTCACTTTTGGGCTGATCCGAATGGGCACGTTAATATCGTATGTGCAGACCCAAATATCATTGAGTGGACTACTTGTGTTGTTCAGTGGTGCTGAGTGATAAGAACTTGAAAATACACATTTAGTTAGTGGTTTATGAGGATTAATTGTGGGAAATTAGGCTTAATTTGGTTAAGTTGCTTAATATTTTCATAATTTTCTTTTAGGGGGATCACGGCTATTTTTGAGTGTTTTATAGGCTACTAGTGCTTAAATGTTATACTCGGATGAAGAATCATGTTGGCAACGGAATAAGTGACGAGTGAAAACAAACAGATCAAGAATCGGAGTTGAATTGAAGAAGTTATGGAAGTTGAAGTAAAGAGAAGATTCTAGATTACGTTCCAGCTTACGCATGCATCAGTATTTTAAGAATATCTTGAGCTGTAGAACTCTAATTAATACGATTCTTGGACTGTTGGAAAGCTGATTCAAAGGATTACATTTCATATGTTTAAACTTTTCCAAATTACATCTTTATCGAGTTCAAAAATCAATATCTTTGAAGAATAGTGGAATGATGTGGGAAAAGGGCAGCAGCTACTATGCCGCAGCACAGTGCTGCGGCACAGTCACGGAAGTCACTAACTTTTTAACCATTTTTAGCCAAGAGAATAGGGTTTAGGGTTCCAAATCAAATAGAATTAAGGAAAAACAAACCCTAACCCTTGTGGGATATAAATAGAAGTCTTTTAGCATTATTTTGGGGAATCTTTTGGTGAGAAGAAAGGGAGAAAAATCTGGAGAGAAGAGAAGTAACATAAATTCTGGAGCTTTGATTCACAATATAGAGAAGTTTTCCTTATTCTTTTCTTGTAAACTCATGATGAATGTTTCAATAAATGTGATTGTTTCCTTCATGTTTATTATGAACTAATTTTATTCTCTAGGGCTAAGATGTCACCCAATCTCTTAATTGTGTATTGATCTTTGATTGTTAATTTGTATGAAGAATTTTTCCTAAGTTTTACTATTATTCCTAATGCTTTCGATTCTTAAGGGCCCAAGAATTGAATAAACCAATGGACTAATTTGAGATTGAGAGATGATACTTAGTTGGTCTACGGTAGTAAAACCATAGGTTGAGCGAATGCTAGAGATAGGTTACCGCGACTTGTGAGGTTTTGGTAAACTCCATAGAGCGTAATGATCCCCAATTGCTTAAATCTAATTAGAGATAATTCGAGTTAGTAATTAGGAGTTAATTTGATAATTGTTCGAGAGAAAATTATTGGAAATTTAAGGAGTTTGACGTGTAGGAAGAGCATAATAAAATTAGCATGAGAGATCGATACACATGAATAAGAGTTGGTGTGAAGTCTATGCCACAGGTCTAGTCATCTTGTTTTTACCCAAAGGTTTATTTTAATTGTTCTTTTTTTCAGTTTTCTTTTTAAATTCAATTGTTTATTTAATTTAGGTTTCCTTGATAAAATTTGGATTGATCAAATGGTAATAGGATAGTTTAATTGGTAATTGATTATAGTAATTACCTTGGGTTCTATATCCGTATTTTATACACTTTATTACTTGCACGATTTCTTGCACTTGTGAAAATCAACAACAAGTTTTTGGTGCCGTTGCCGGGGAATTGCTTTTATATTATCAATATCAATACAAGCTGTTTAGTTGCTAATTTGGTTTGTATTATATTTTTTTTTTAATTATTATTTTTAGTGCCTTAATTTTTAGTGTCGGACTGTATAGAGGAGTTAGTTCAATGACTGATACAGGAGTTGAAGTTGTTCAAAGAGCATTGAAGGACTACTCTAGTCCTACAGGTGAAGGGAGCTATTCTAGCATCAGGAGGCCACCAATTCAAGCAAATGCCTTCGAGATAAAGCTAGACATTATTCAATTGATACAGATTTGGTTCAATTCATAGGGTTACCTAATGATGATCCTAACCTGCATATGGCAAAATTTCTGGAGCTCTGCGACACATTCAAACACAATGGAGTATCCGATGATGCAATTAGGCTTAGACTTTTCCCATTCTCTCTTCAGGATAAAGCTAAGGCTTGGTTGATTTCTTTGCCATTAGGAAGTATTACTACATGGAATGAGTTAGTTCAAGCATTCCTTACGAAATATTTCCCACCTGTCAAGTCTGCTAAGATGAGGAGTGACATCACGAATTTTTTCCAGCAAGATATGAAGTCACTCTATGAAGCTTGGGAGAGGTATAAGGATCTCTTACGGAGGTGTCCTCACCATGGGCTACCAATATGGTCGCAGGTGCAGACGTTTTACAATGGGTTGTTGCCAAATATATAAGTGATGATTGATGCTGCAAGTGGGGGAGCTTTAAATAATAAAACGTCAAAGGACGCATGCAATCTGATTGAGGTGATGGCAAATAATAACTATATGAGGACTCCAGAGAGAACTTCGATAAGGAAATCAGTGGGAGTGCACAAAGTTGACGGTTACACTACATTAGTTGTTCAACTTTCGAACATTCAGAAGCAATTAGGTAATGTGTTGAAAGTAAATGCAATTGAATCTTCTTATCTAATATGTGACCTTTGTGTAGGAAATCATTCATCGAAGGATTGCCAAGAAAGGAACCCGTTTGCTCAGCCTGAATAAGCCAATTACGTCAATAATTTCCAAAGGGGGCAAGGGAATTCGTATTCCAATACATATAATCCAGCATGGAGGAAACACCCGAACTTTTCATGGAGCAACAACAATGAGCAAAAACAAGCTCCTGTTTTTCAACCTCAAGAGCCAAAATCTAATTTAGAGAATGTGTTGACCAAGTTCATTGAAGAGACAAGCAAGAGATTTGAGAAGACTGACATCCTAGTTCAAAATCAATCAGCCTCTATTAGGAACCTTGAGACTCAAATTGGGCAAATCCACAATATTTTAGTGGGAAGAGTTCAAGGGACATTGTCAAGCGATACAGAGAAAAATCTGAAAGAGAGAGTTAATGTTGTCATACTGAGAAGTGGTAAGGAGTTGAAGGAGGTAAGGAAGGAAGAAGAAACAAAGGAAAAACTCGAAGAAGAAAAAGAGGGCACAGGAGAAAAAAATGTCAATAATGCCCAAGCTTCAACAAACAATGACTCGACACTCTCGTATCCTCGCAGAGTGCAAAAACAAAGATTGGACAAGCAATTCGGTAAGTTTATGGACATGTTTAGAACTTTACATATTAACATTCCTTTTGTAGACATGTTGGAGCAAATGCCGAAGTACGCGAAGTTTCTGAAGGAGATTATCACCAAAAAGAGGAGATTTGAAGAACATGAGACTGTGATGCTTACGGAAGAGTGCAGTGCATTGCTATTGAAGAAATTACCACAAAAGCTTAGAGATCCAGGAAGTTTCACAATTCCTTGCACAATAGGTAATGTTCATTTTGATAAAGTTTTATGTGACCTAGGGGCTAGTGTTAACCTCATGCCATATTCGATTTATAAGAAATTAGGCCTAGGGGAAGTAAAACCAACCACAGTCCATCTTCAACTAGCTGATAGGTCTATAAAATACCCCAGGGGAGTAGTAGAAGATGTATTGATCAAGGTAGATAAGTTGATTTTCCCGGTAGTTTTATTGTTCTTGACATGGAAGAAGATCGGGAAGTACCTCTAATTCTAGGAAGACCTTTTCTAGCTACGAGTAGAACGCTGATAGATGTTCATAAAGGAAAACTAATCTTAAGGGTAGAGGATGAACAAGTTGAATTTAATGTTTTTGATAATATGAAATGTCCACCCAAGTTAGATACTTGCTTTGAGATTAGTATCCTTGATGATAAAGTAGTTGCGACCTTAGAAGAAAAACACCCTCGTTTACCCCTAGAAAAATGTGTTGTCAATTTTAGGACTTTGGAGGGAAATAAAGCAATTGAAGCTTTATGAAGATGGTGGCATTAAGGATAGAAGGGTTTGGATTTTCCTCGATGATCCAGATTGAAGGATTTGAAAAGTCGAGCTTACGACTCTAATAAAGAGCTTCTTGGGAGGGAACCCAAGCTCTTTAATTTAATTTTGATTTTTGTTTTGAATTTAATTTAGTTTTGATTTGGTTTGATATGTTAGTTGTTTATGTTTCACCCATTATTTCTGTTATGAACTCTAAATTGGCCAAGCATGGCACATAGTTTGTTTTCTTTTGGATTAGATTCCCGATGACTATTGGATACAACAAACAATATGCATGCCTTCACAAGATTATCTCCACATAAATGTTGCGCACGAAAGGTAGTGTGGTTGTTCTCTCTGCACATTGAGGACAATGATCATCTCTAACGTTGGGGGTAAGGAATATTTTCTTATGGTCAAATTGTTTTTGTGCTTTGAATTATCTCTTTAAAAGCTTTTGGGTGAAATTGTTTTAGGTATGTTGCTCATACATAAGTCAATGATAAGACTATGATAGTGAATTTGTAACATTGAGATTTTATTGACTTTCGCGTAATGTGAAGATGATAGTAGATGAAAATTGCATTTAGTTATGATTCTCTGGGAATAGGTTGATTGGTTGAATAATTCGGAAACTTAGAGACGTTTTAGGGTGTTTTTATGGGCAATAATTTTTTTTTTTTTTTTTTTTGGTGTGAAAATTGGGCATAAACTCTAGAACTCACTTGAGCCGAAATCCTAGAATCTGCATTGCTTAGGATATGATTTAAGCAATTTCTTTGGAACGATGAGCCTTTCAAGCCAACCTATATATTTTATCCCTACTTAACCCTTTGAGCCTATATATACACTTGGTAAGCCTTATTTTTTTTTTTTTTTTTTTTTTTTTTGTTGTAAACCTACTATCTCACCTTGACGATGAAGCCTAAAACACTTTCGACCCCTCTTATTGTGAGAGACTTAATTTAGGGTGACCTCATAGAAAAACTCATGAAAAGAAGTGTGGTAGAAGAAAATGAATATATCTTTTGGACCACAACCTGAGTATGTGCAATGAGATAGGTTGGGGGTTATGAAAAAAAAGAAAAAATGATAATAGTAGAAGCAAGGGGGTAGACGAATTTTTTCTTTTTGAGGTACTATCTTTCTAAAAAAAAAAAAAAAAAAAAGGAAAAAGATATTTCCAGAAAAATAGGAAGAAGTAGCTGGGGAGAAGAACTTGAAATGAGGTACATTACATGAGGGTTTTGTGCCAATGTTGGAAGGAAGAGTTCAATCAATATGAAAGGGTAAAGGGTGAATGAGAAGGGATGCAAGAAAGAGATTGTTCATGGTCATTTACTATAAAATATTAAGTCTCTTACATTTTGTTAAAAAATCATTTCCGTTCTTTCATAAACTATTACCCTAGCCTAACGTTACAACCATGAAAAAGACCTAATAATCCGAGGTGTGATTGGATTCTACATTAGTGGAGAGTGGTTTGAAAAGTGAGCCTATGGAGTTTGATTGCATAGTTGTTTTATTTTCGTACTTTGCCTATGGAAGCTATGCATAAAATCATCTGGGTTTTTGGATGAATGGTTTGTGAATGATTATGAGAGAGTCAATAACAAAAGTGTAGTTGAAATTCACTTTTTCTTTGCATTTGTGTGTTGTTAATTATTCGATTTGTTCACATTGACATAATTTTTTAGACTATTATATGCATGGATCCTAAAATATTTGTTTGAGTCTTTTGTTTTGAGTTTAGGTGAGGTTAGGTTTGGATGTTTGTGGGTATCATTGTTGGAAACCCTCACGAGACTATAACTTGTCCAACTACGGCCGCCTAGGGGTTTAAAGGCTTGTTGCATATTCTAAATGCAACCGTGACAATCTACAGAAGTGATTTAGGATAGTTTAGATATAGACTTTTTTTTGTTTGTGTTTTCAAGCTAAAGGACTTGTTCTATCGCTTAGCTTGCTAGGGACTAGCAAGAAGCTGGTTGGGGGTTGTGATAAGAGCTTGAAAATACACATTTAGTTAGTGGTTTATGAGGATTAATTGTGGGAAATTAGGCTTAATTTGATTAAGTTGCTCAATATTTTCATAATTGCCTTTTACGGGATCACGGGTGTTTTTGAGTGTTTTTCAGGCTACTAGTGCTTAAATGTTATGCTCGGATGAAGAATCATGTTGGCAACGGAATAATTGACGAGTGGAAACAAATGGATCGAGAATTGGAGTTGAATTGAAGAAGTTATGGAAGTTGAAGTAAAGAGAAGATTCCAGATTACGTTCTAGCTTGCGCATGCCTCTGTATTTTGAGCATATCTTGAGCTTTAGAACTCGGATTAAGACGAGTCTTGGACCGTTGGAAATCTGATTCAAAGGATTACATTTCATATGTTTACAACGTTTCCAAATTACATCTTTATCGAGTTCAAAAATAAACATCTTTAAAGAATAGTGGAATGATGCGGGAAAAGGGCAGCAGCTACTGTGCCGCAGCAAAGTGCCGTGGCACAGTCACGGAAGTCACTAACTTGTTATCCATTTTTAGCCAAGAGAATAGGGTTAAGGGTTCCAAATCAAATAGAATTAAGGAAAAACAAACCCTAACCCTTGTGGGATATAAATAGAAGTCTTTTAGCATTATTTTGGGGGATCTTTTGGTGAGAAGAAAGGGAGAAAAATCTGGAGAGAAGAGAAGTAACAGAAATTCTGGAGCTTTGATTCACAATATAGAGAAGTTTTCCTTATTCTTTTCTTGTAAACTCGTGATGAATGTTTCAATAAATGTGATTGTTTCCTTCATGTTTATTATGAACTAATTTTATTCTCTAGGGCTAAGATGTAGCCCAATCTCTTAATTATGTATTGATCTTTGATTGTTAATTTGTATTAAGAATTTTTCCTAAGTTTTACTATTATTCCTAATGCTTTCGATTCTTAAGGGCCCAAGAATTGAATGAACCAATGGACTAAGTTGAGATCGAGAGATGATACTTAGTTGGTCTACGGTAGTAAAACCATAGGTTGAGTGAATGCTAGAGATAGGTTACCGCAACTTGTGAGGTTTTGGTAAACTCCATAGAGCGTAATGATCCCCAATTGCTTAAATCTGATTGGAGATAATTCGGGTTAGTAATTAGGGGTTAATTTGATAATTGTTCGAGAGAAAGTTATTGGAAATTTAGGGAGTTTGACCTGTAGGAAGAGCTTAATAAAATTAGCATGAAAGATCAATACACATGAATAAGAGTTGGTGTGAAGTCTATGCCCCAGGTCTAGTCATCTTGTTTTTACCCAAAGGTTTATTTTAATTGTTCTCTTTTTCAGTTTTCTTTTTAAATTCAATTGTTTATTTAATTTATGTTTCCTTGATAAAATTTGGATTGATCAAATAGTAATAGGATAGTTTAATTGGTAATTGATAATAGTAATTCCCTTGGGTTCGATATCCGTATTTTATGCACTTTATTACTTGCACGATTCGTACACTTGCGAAAATCAACAACACTGAGTTGCAGTGGGGAGTGGAAAGTTTGCAGACAGTGGGGAGCGTGAGGGCTTTTATGACAGGTGTGCTGGAGATTGTGATGTGAAGTTGGTTTGAGTTGATATGTATTGGTTGGGAAGGGGCGATGGTTCGAGTTTGGAGTTTTGGAATACGGTGGGGTAAGGAGATTAGGCGAGAGTAGGGTGGTGTCACTTAAGCAGGTTTTGTTTGGGGGGTTTCTCTTCGTGTTTAGTAAATGACTTTAGGTGTTCTGAGAGGATTACTGCTGTGTTTTTAGGATTTCACTGCATGATTGGAGAAGCTGTTAGGGCGATTTTAGGAGAACAGATGGACATGTTTTGGGTTTCAAAGTGATGGCAAATCTCCGTGAAGTTGAATTGGGATTGGATCAAGGCTGGTCGAGTTTGAGTTACCTTCTAATTGAGCGGAGGTCTTAGAGATGCTGGCGTATTGCGGCATCTTCTCGAATGAACAACTTGACTAGTTTTATGGCGAGTAATGCATTGCAAAGCTCTGATGACGGTGGCAGACCACCTGGTGGTTTGATGATTGAAGTGAAAAGGCGCATGTTGAGAGGTTAGAGACAAAAGATATTGCATTATCTGAACATAGGATTGGAGAAGAGAGATTGTTGAAGCAAAGCCAATGAATCAAGTGGTTTAGGAACACAACTTTAAACTCTAACACATTATTATTCTATTATTAATTTAGAACAATAATATGAAGCTATTATTAATTTAGAACAATAATATGAGCTTCAAGGTCTTATACTACTCACTGAATGGATATAATATAAAATAAATTACGATGTGCCGAATAGATATAATATGGCCTATGAATAGATAAAACAAATGAAGAAAAATAAAGAAAAAAGAAAAAAAAATTCTTATCGTGACGAGATTTTCTAATTAACATTGTCAATCAAAAGGAGTTCCGTGTTGCCTCCAATGTTGTAAGTCATCATTGGCATATGATTGTCAGGGCCCTACGGTGGGCGTCAAATTGTAGATGCAAAAAATCTACCATCATGAAAATAGGGTCTGATCCCGTGAGGATGAGGCCACTAACAATCCGCTAGACCTGCACACATGAAAGGGCAAGCGTGAAGCTTTCAGAAAACACTGGGGTGGTGTTTGCCGTAGGCACTCCAACGCTCAAGTTAGTAAGGCTGGAAGAGATTATTTGATAAAAATTAAGGAGATGAAGAATTACCACGAGTCTT